AGGCATTCAGCAGTTTGGTGATGTTTTTAGGTGGCACAGTGGTTATCACTGTGGCCTCACAGCAAAAAGATTGCTAGTTTGAGCTTTGGCTGGGTCAGTCGGTGTTTCTGTGTGGAGTTTGCATGTTCTCCCCATGTTGGTGTGGGTTTCCTCCGGGTGCTCTGGTTTCAGTCCAAACACATGCGCTATAGGGGAATTGATCAACTCAATTGTACGTAGTATGAGTGTGTGTGTGTATGTATTTGTTGTTTCCCAGTACTGGGTTGCAGCCGGAAGGGCATTTGCTGCGTAAAGGGATTCGGTCAAAGGAAAATTAATAAATGAATGATGTCATTGTTATTATTAATTATTATCATCATCATTGTTATATTATTATGATTATAATTATTATTATGCAATTATTACCATCATAATTACAATCATCATTATTATTATTATTAGGGCTGGGTGATAACATCAGTGTCTGTATTTATTGAGCGAGCACCATTGTCAATAACATTATAAAAAAAGTTCTGTATGTAGTTTCGGTATGAACACTGTAGTTTTATTAAAATGTGACTGCTGAGCACACACATTGAAAGCAATGCCGGTAAGCTTAGGGTGTAAGTTTTACACGAAATTTCACGACTTGCGTGATGCACACATGATCATAAATCATAATATTCCTAAATGCATTGTAATATTTTTTCAATAATTATTGATACTGAATGATGTGAAACATTCTATTGTGATAATTTTTTGTTCTTTTGCAATGTCTTCCAGCCCTAAATATTATTATTATTATTATTTGATTATTATTATTTTATTTTTATTATTATTATTATTATTATTTCATTATTATTATTATTATTTCATTATTATCATTATTATTATTATTATTATTTTATTATTTCATTATTATTATTATTATTTTATTATTTCATTATTATTATTATTATTATTATTTTATTTCATTATTGTTATTATTATTATTTTATTATTATTATTTCATTATTATTATTATTATTATTTTATTATTATTATTTCATTATTATTATTATTATTTTATTATTTAATTGTTATTATTTTTATTAGTAGTAGTATTATTATTTTATTATTTCATTATAATTATTATTATTATTATTATTTCATCATCATCATTAGTATCAGTATTATTATTTCATCTTTTTTTCATTTTGAATCTCATAATTTTATGTGATGCAGTGTTTCAATTTAATTAATGCAGTGATTAATTTAATCTACTTTATTAGCATTAAAGTCAGCATGAAATGAAAACTAATTATATTTTCTTCACTAAATATTTGAAAAAATAAGTCATTTATCATAAACTAATGAATGAAACTTAAACATTTAAAAATGAAAATAAATTAAAAACAAAAATCTATTAATATGTAAATTAAGTTAACACAATAATGCACAATAATCAGACAACGAATGATAAATTAATAATGTAACTGCTTAAAAAAACAATATTAAAATTATCAGATTAATCAATAATAATAAACTTATAACATTCATTTATTCACTTATTCATTTTCCTTCAGCTTAGTCTCTTTATTAATCAGGGGTCACCACAGTGGAATGAACCGGCAAGTTATCCAGCATATGTTTTACAAAGCGAATGCCCTTCCAGCTGCAACCCAGTACTGGGAAACAACTGTACATACACAACACTCATAGACTATGGCCAATTTAGTCCCCTATAGCGCATGTGTTTGGACTGTGGGGGAAACCAGAGCACCCGGAGGAAACCCACACCAACATGGGGGGAACATGCAAACTCCACACAGAAACAGCAACCGACCCAGCCAAGGCTCGAACCAGCGACCTTCTTGCTGTGAGGCCACAGTGCTAACCACTAAGCCACCGTGCTGCCCCTAAACTTATAACATACAAAAATGAATGCAGAAAAAAAAAAATCACAATAGCTCATTTATGTGTGACGGTACATTTAAAGTCAAAGTTCAGTTCCACATCCTGTTTGTTTGCTGGAGGAGTTTCAGGTCAAGAGAATAAACAAACACAGGTGTGTGTGTAAACGAGACTCACCCTGAACACACTGACCTCAGACCAGTGACGCTCACATAACTGATGGGCAGAGAGCGGCAGTACACGTTACACGCTCTGAAACACACACACACACACGCACGCACGCACGCATGCACGCACACACACACACGATTTTGTGACATTTATTTCTCAATACATTGGGCATAATTTGCTATAATTCTGGTGTTTTACAGTGAAATACACAAAAATATTGTGAAATGTGTCTGTTTTTGAGCTCAATCTTTTGAAATATTGAGTGACTGATAAACTGCTTATTGCTTTGAAGAAATAATGGTTACTTTTAAAAACAAAATTAAAGTGCATTAAAATAAGACAAGTGGTTTGGACAATTGGTGGAAAAAAATTCTGAACTTCTGGACAATTTGTAAACAGCTCAAGTCAGATGTTTGCTGCTAAATATGTATTGCATATATAAATCAATTTGTGCCTAGAACTGTACAACAACCCAGAACACAGCGATTGTTTCCGACGATCAGATGTTTTATAATAATGAAATAAAATGCAGTGCAATAAGATACAATAAAATGCAAATAAACAAATAAAAATGCAATAACAAAAATAAAATACAATAAAATAAACTAATACAAAGCAATAAAATCAAATACATTGCAAAGCAATGCAATAAAATGCAATCCAAAAAATGCAATGCAATAAAATTAAATGCAATGCAACACAAATAAATGAAATAAAATGCAACAAAATAAATTGCAACAAATTAAATTGCAATAAAATAAAATAAAATAAATGAATATGCAACAAAATAAAATGCAATAAAATGCCATGCAATAAAATAAAATAAATTAGAATGCAATGCAATGCAAAATATGCAATACAGTAAAATCAAATGCAATGCGATGCAATAAAATTGAACATAACTCAATACAATTAAATCAAATAAAGTGCAACAAAATAAAATGCAACCAATGCAAAAAAATTCAATCAAATAAAATGCAATGCAGTCCAATAAAATAAAATGCAACTAATTAAATTGAAACCGCACTGAACTGAACTAAACTGAACATCAAATTTACAAAAACTATGTTAAGCTGCTTTGATACAATCTACCTTGTAAAAGCACTAGAGAAAAAAACAAAATAACTGAATTGATTTGAATAGAGTTCAATTATATCAAAATAAAATGGAATAAACTCATATAAATGAAAATAAAATGCAATAAATTCATATCAAATAAAAATGCAATAAATTCATATCGAATAAAAATACTATAAATTAATATAAAATAAAAATACAATAAATTAATATAATATAAAATAAAATAAATAGCAATAAATTCATATAAAATTAAAAAAATGCAATAAATTCATATAAAATAAAATAAAATGCAATACATTCATATGAAATAAAAATGCAATAAATTAATATAAAATAAAATAAAATGCAAAACAATCATATAAAAAATAAAATAAAATGCAATAAATTCATATAAAATAAAATGCAATAAATTTATATATATATAAAAATAAAATGTAATAAATTCATATAAAATAAAATGCAATAGATTAATATAAAATAAAATAAATTCATTTATAATGAAAATCCAATAAATTAATATAAAATAAAAAGGCAATAAATTGATATAAAATAAAAAAGTGCAATACATTCATATGCAATAAACTAAAATAAAATGCAATAAAATAATATGCAATGTAATACAATTAAATTAAATATAATTTAATACAAGTAAATGAAATAAAATACAACACAATCGATGCTATAAATTTCACTCAAACATAAGGCAATCCTATGAAAAAAATTGCAACAAACTAAAATGCAATGAAATAAAATGAAATGAAATGAAGTAAACTTGCAGGGATTTTTTTTTTTGGCATTTGCAGCCTAAAATAACCACATTTGTGACAGACTTTCTCAACGCTTTTGCAAAAGCAGGTCTCAGCAGCAGCAGAGCAGACTGACCTGGAGACTTTGCGCTGGACATGGTGAACCTGCAGTGCAGCTCCGGTGATCAGACCCAGTGTGTATAAACCACAGGACAGATCCAGATACACGTGAACCATCAGCCCGGGACACTCAGCGTCCTGCACCGTCAGACGCACCCTCAGATCCTCCTGCGTGTCTGCACATTCACACACACATTCACACACATCACTCACTGACCCTCATCCTGTAGACAGGTGTTCGGAGGCGGGGCCAAACCTGCAGTAGGTGACACTGATTTAATCTTGGGTTGTGCTTCGTTGTCCTCCTGCAGTGTGATTCGCTGAGAAATGATTCCATGAAAGGAGACGACCTCAGGGGCGGAGCTGAGGAAATAAAGACAGTATATCAATTTTCACATGAGCAAATCTCTTTCAGTCACGCAGAGCTGATGTAGATTAGGTTGTTATGAATGGGTTATCTGCACAGAAGTGTTGTTCAGCCACTGAAATCTCCCGTTGACAGATTGATTTGACTATTGTCTGTTTCATAAGGTCCTTTTACAGCATCGATAATGTCGATTTATATTTAGTTTCACAACAGAACATCAGTAAATAGCGCTATTCCCCTAGCCTGCTTTACTTAGCTGAAATTGGGCTTTTATTCACACTGGGTCATTTCTAAACAACCTGTGACGCTCCCGATATTGTTCACCGCTACTCTGAGTATTCAGTCTGAAACAGCATGTCAGTATGGCTCAGTAATTCCTGCACGCCACCGGCCAAACACTCAGCACACAGTAGTGGCTTTAGGACAAAGTGTGTGTGAGAGAGAGAGCAGCGATCCTTGCATGCATGAAATATTGCACATCATGACAAGATTTACTCGCTACTGTAAGAGTTGAGATATTGCAAATATTTTTGATGTCTTTGACAATTCAAACATGAGCTGAAAACAGAGACTGTTGACTCCACAACCCAGCAGGTGGGAATGCAGGAAAGACCAGTTCCTGCCGCATTTGCATCTGAGTCTGCTGAAACTCGGCTTCAACCACCCCAACTCACACATATGGTCATGTCAATGTTTGAATGTTCTAGATTAACCAAAGTGACTTTATTTATCATGTTTGATATCATTTAAAATGTCTCAGTGCGATTGGTACAATGGTCTCATTCCCTCAGAAATAGACATAATCAAAACAATAAATATATAACTTCGGGCATCTTTTGAACCACTGTGAAGGGTGTGCACTAAATGTGAATGCCTTTTGTTATGCACACACCCCTTTCCTTGAGGGGATTCTTGGATTACTTAAGGTAAGGTTTGAGAAATGCTCAGCGCGATTCTGCTTAACCAGATCAGCCCGTAACGGGTCATACGCTCCACGCTATGTAAAATTTGAAGTCAGGAATGCATCATTTAATCTTGGATTTATCTTTGATAATTTGATGTCTTGTATTGATCGTTTATGAATTGACTGAATGAACTGGCGTAATACACATTAACCTGACTAATAAATTGTTATGTTTTGAATCATTCAAACAGAGTTTGTGTTATTATCTCTAGTAGATTGTGTTAATTTCATAACACCACAAGCCCCTGTACAGGTTAGTAGCGGACTAAAACACGGTAGACGGAGCATTGCGGCACGCTATACGATGTCTCTAGAGCTCCGACTAACACATTGGCATTAATTCATGTATACTTAGGCTGTAAAAGGATATCTAAGGGGATAGTCCTTCACCTGTTAAACGTATAATACTATTTAGATAGTATAGTGATTATTCAAAGTTACTAATAGTTTAAGTACGACTGGTCTGCTTAATTCTATAGTAATGATCACTATATGAGTAAATAGCTCTGTTTGATTTAGGAGGTAGCAGATCTATGGGGACCGCATAAAAAATATCCTAATCTGAGTAAGTAGGGTTCTGCCGGTAAAGGATAGCGGTCAATCGCCACTGTTTAGTGACCAAGACTGACAAGCTTGTGCTTAAGAAATTGTATACTCGGCCGGTACAAGATTCAGGATGTTATAAAGAACGAGAATAACATAAAATGATGAACCGAAGAGAATATTCAATCATATTCTAAAATAATGTGAACGGAAACAAAATAACCTTCTCAATGTTTTATAATTGGAGTCAGATAAAACGAGGATAAATATATTAATATTCTAAACCACCTCATACTAAAATTGGAGTCAGATATGAGTTAAGTTTAATATAAATCAACATTGTGCACTGGAAAGACCGAACATGCAGTGAACCTTCATCCACCAGTGGATACCGTCATTGGACCAACTGCATGGACCCTACACTACACAACTGAAGCGTGCTAGATAAAATACAGTTGTTCATTGGGAATTGTAGTATTATAAAGTACTATAAAGTTTTCATCAGACCCCTAGTTTTTCATGATTCCGCAATCACTGAATCAACTCATAAATCAACAAAAAGTTGCATATTTTATTGATCCTGCAAAAATCATAATTAAACTCAAAATAATCGTCAAAATGTAAATAATCTCATAAAATCTCATCCAATTCCAGACCATACGACAGGCCCGGCGCCAGGAAGTCAAAACTGAGGGGGCACTTGACCTGGTGACTCATTGTGGTCTCTTGTTTCTTTCATTTAGGCTATTTATTCACATTTATTATTACTTTGCATTACTGCCTAAGTTACTGACCTAAGGCAGTAAAATAGGCTACGTTTTAATAGTAATAACAATATGCAGTTTCGCTATTACGAATTTTATTAACGATAGTAATGCTTACCGTTTATTAATGCAGACGGATGATGGCTTCAGTGCCAAACGAGTGCTTTAAATCATATGTTATTCTCCTTATTATACTGACCCACGATCAGACTATTCATTTAACCGGTAAATAAATATAGCGAAATCAGCTTAACCGAGTCATCACACTTCACGTAGCCTATTATCCAACCAACATCATTTTTAGGGCCATGAGCTACAAGTCAAAACAAACTCGATATGTTGTATTTTAGCTCTTAAAATAGATCTACAATATATTTTATGTTGTTTAATTTTGCATGAGCAAATAGCAGTATAGCCTAAATGACATTTTTAAAAGATTATCATTCTGCCTACCTGCAGCATGTGAGAGGTTTTTCGGTTGATCCGCGATAAATCCACTTAAGCACTATATTCCATTTATAACACTGCAAACTTGACTTAATAAACGCAAAAGGCATTTATTATGTGTTATACCTTGACTGCTGCTGCATAATGGGATGTTTCTCTTCACAACTGTAAAAGTGCGCTTTTTAGCAAAATGAAAGCAAACATTCAGAGAGTTCTGCGTTTTGTCAATTTTAGTTGAATTGTAATAATATTAATAATAATATTAATAAATAAATTAAAATATTATTTATAGTGTAGCCTACAGTGGGACTGTGCAGTAAACTATTTGTTTTTATTAAAACATGTTTATTAGGCTACATCTTCCCGAATAACTAATAAATGACTGGCAGTTGCGTCTCTGCTAAAATTAATTTAACAGCAAATTTCTTATGTGTTTTTTCCTTTTAGAGCTCAAGAGAGTTGTGTTTAAATAATTAGTTAACCAAAGCATGTAATGAATTAAGCTGCTCCTATCATGTCACCCACTTTCTCCCTTGTGAGTTGAGTGCGCCTCCATCGCCGTGTGCGCGTTTTAAAGGCTATTTACGGGCGCACCTGACCTGACGCGGGGACCGGATCTCTGGACTATGGGACTAGCTTTATTCTCACCATTTTCATAATTCGATTGCTATGTCATATATTTAAAAATATTTAAATTTGTGTTCTGAAGGTTGGAACGAAGGGAGTGTTAATAATTAATGACAGAAAGAATTTTCAGTTTGAGTGAACAATCCTTTATAAAAACTGGGGGGGCACAAACTCTTTCTGCGGGGGCAGCTTACAACTGAGATTGATTCAAGGATGACGACCGCTGGATGTGACCAAATTGAAGGACATTTAGAGGGATTGACTCAGGCTGATGAACACTTAACACACCACACACAGACTCTTCCATACCCTCACTGCACACCATCAATATATAGCATGCACTGCACTTTAACCAATCCAAACTTGAAACAATACTGCCTACAACAACTATGTGGACACCTGTTCATCGTACATATCGCTGTCCATTTCACATTGTCCTGTTTTTGGGCCCTATCATACACCCGGCGCAGTGTGGCGCAGTGTGGCGCAAGGCATGGCGCAGTAGTCTTTTGCTAGTTTCAGCTTGGCGCAAGAGTGGTTTTGAGGCGTTGCGCTACGCTGTTTAAATAGCAAATGCATTAGCGCTCATATGTGCGCCCATAGGCGATCTGGTCTAAAAAGGGAGGTGTTCTGAGACGGACCACTGGCGCGTTGCTATTTTGAGAAACTATAATAGATTTTTCATTAGACCAAAACTAACCCGGTCTAAACTTCAGCGCAGAGTTGCGCCTCACTTACACACTGCTTAATACACACAAGAGAGCAATAGGCAAATATCTTTACATATGAAAACATTTAAATATTAAGGATATATATAGGATATAATAAGAATAGATATAGGATATAAATATAAAGGATTAAAATATTACAAAACATATTTTCTAGCCTACATAAATATGAAAAATCACTGCTTTTATGTCTTCTTCATCTCGGGAGGCTTTTTCAGTTCATTCATAACAATTTGCTTCTGTATAATGTTATTATTATTAGCAGTATTATTTATTATATCCATATTTATATTTGTTTTAATAAAAACAAGCTTAGATTTGTCCACCTGTCAGGTTTTAGACCATATGGGGCGCAGCATGTGTTTTAGGATATAACTCAGGTTTTTGAGCACACTTCATTATTATTGTTCATTTATTCATTTGCTGGAAATTAGAACTGAATTTAGAAATAGCTTTGAAATAAATCTTTGCGCTTAACAAACTAAATGAATTATTTATAGACTAATTGATGTTTGTGTGTAAAGGTTTTCCTATCCAAGAGCAAATGTGAAAGTAGATTCATTATCTCTCATTCTCTCGCAGTAGATGCTCTGTTTAACAGTTTTCTGTTAATAAACTGTGAACTGTTTGCTTGTGAAATTATCAGTTTGTCCACTTAGACTTACTTTGTGTCCTGTAAATAGCGAATGCGCGCTTGGCGCGACGCAGCTGGCTCTTAAAGGGAATGGGAGACGAGACTCTAATTGGTTTATTCTCAAAACACACCTATAACTCATTAAGAAAATTAACTCAACCCTTTTAGACAGATTTCCCGTCCGTAAATTAGCAAAAATGCGTTCTGACACGCCCTGAAAGCGTTTGCGCCCTGCGTTTTGCGCTCTGCGCATGGACCGTCAAAATAGAGCCCTTAGTATTTGCACTGTCTGGAGCAGCACCTAAGCTTTTCACTCATTATAGCACACGTGCTGCTGATGATGTGACAATAAAAGTGATTTAATTTGATCCCAGCATAAAAGACCTTCATCATTCCCTGTCGATTCGACATGGCCTTAACATGCATCACAGCGCATTCTTTGCAAAACTCTGCTCATAAAACCAACCTGTCTAAAATTAAACCTGGGGCGAGGCAGTGGCACAGTAGGTAGTGCTGTCGCTTCCCAGCAAGACGGTCGCTGGTTCGAACCTCGGCTCAGTTGGCGTTTCTGTGTGGATGATCTACCTGCCTTAGTGTGGGTTTCCTCCGGGTGCTCCGGTTTCCCCCACAGTCCAAACACATGCGGTACAGGTGAACTGGGTAGGCTAAATTGTCCGTAGTGTATGAGTGTGTGTGTGGATGTTTCCCAGAGATGGGTTGCAGCTGGAAGGGCATCCGCTGCGTAAAAACTTGCTGGATAAGTTGGCGGTTCATTCTGCTGTGGCGACCCTGGATTAATAAAGGGACTAAGCCGACAAGAAAATGAATGAATGAAAGCAAACCTGTGTCAGTGTGGACATGTTGTGGACGCGTGTGGAACAATGTCAGGTCTGCTAAACGAGTAAATAAACACAGATTACAAATCATTAATATTACC